GGGTCCTCAGGAGGATGCAGCCCATGAATTTGGACACGACCACAAACTAGGAGAAAATAAAAACAGCCATAGAACAAGAGACTGTGATTGGCTGCTCACAGCCAATCACAGTCAGTTCTCTTGGTTTCAAGCAGAGGTTAAAGCTTCAAGCGTGGACTGGGGAACCAATCAGGTGCAGGGGCAGGAGGCAGCAGCAGGACAGGCAAGTGGAGGAGCCAATCAAGGGCAAGAGGACATACTAATTAGTATCAAGCCATATGAATTATAACTTGAACATAATTATCATGCATTGAAAGTACACAGAGTGTTAGTCATACAGAAAGAGGCAGAGTACTGAGAGATGTAACAGAAAAGCAAAAGGTAATGGAGTAGTTTCTGTGTGAGTAGTTACATGGCTGCATAAAAAGATCCACACAAGGCAAAGCGTCTCTTAAATAGACCCGATGCACTTACATCAACAAGTGATGACCTACTGATATGTGCGAGGGATATACATAACAGACAAAAACAAGCTCATAGCGTTGTCTTCTTTTCTGCGAGGCCACTTAGAAACTGCTAGAATGTGTAGTAATGTTGTGCTTTATAGCAAACAGTGATGTAACTGTCCTGGTGCCCTCTGACCTCTTGTTCTCAGCATGACAAGTTCACAGTGCATTATAGTCAATATATAATCGTATAATCATACGGCGTCTACACAAACAAACGCGCACACACACACACACACAAAAGGGCCAAGACCCACCTGAAGTGGCTGTCGCTAGTACTCGACATCACAGCTGCCTCCCAGCTGTTTCTTTCTGCTGGCCTTTGTCCAGTTATTCTCTCAGACCCCGATGACTTTAATGTGCGGTTATATTCCAGCATCGTCAAACATTCACTGTCTAAAGGACAGACGGTTACGCAACAGAGGAAAAACACAAATCACCTCACGGCCCCGCTGTGGTCTTATGAAAGCCATCGGAGCACGGGTAAAGCCACTAACTTTCAGTGTAGTTAAAGAAGAATGTAAATAAAGAGAATCGGAGCCACGTAGCAACAAAATACAGAGATTAAGGTGTCCACTTTGTTAGAGTCAGAGGTGTCTATTAAGAAAATCATTTTAGATTCAAAGCTGCAGTGAATTTATTGAATTGTATACATTTTAAGATTATATCTGGAATTTGATGCCAGACTTGGCTGAAAGAGTAACACACTGTTTGTTTTTTCTATTGTACAGAATCCAGACATGGAGCTGAACAAGTACCAAACTCTGCCGGGGAAACTGAGTAAAAAGAACGAGCCGCGGGCCGAGCTGAACGGAGACGGAGACGGAGAGTATTTATCTCCCGTCCAGCTCTCGCCTGTCCACAGCCACAGCCAGGACTACAGTCTGAGTGAGTGTTGTATATGTTAAGTACCATGTTTTAATCTGTGAAATCTCAAATGCAGGTCTCTCACTCTTAACCTAAAAAATCTGCGTGACCTTGCACTCAAGGGAAAATTTTTAATTTGTATATTTTGGGGAATACATTTATTCAGCTGAGCTAATCAAGCAGCCTTCTGGCTGTAGCTTCACATCTTATTTAGCTTTGCAAGAAAGCCAACATGCATATTTCCCCTCTTGTGTAACTTTTCCTTGGAATATAAAGCAGGTGATTTTAGTGAACAGATCATTTTGCACTGCAAAGCAAAACAAAACAAGAATATTTTTTGTCTTTGTCAACTAACTCTTCGCCCACTGCTTCCTTTCTGTGCCTTTTCTTTCTCCTCCTCCTGCTGCCTGCTCTGCTGTCGGATTGCTCTTTTCTCCTGTTTGTGCTCCGACTGCAGTTCGCTGCAGGAGTGCCAGTGCTCCGGTTTTAGGTACTGTATGCCCTCACAGAAACGCAAATGTCAACACTGAAAATACACTTTCAGAAGAACTGAAACGCAGTGTTTCTGTGACTGTGAAGTCACTGAGAGAAAGCCTCGTTGAGCAAACAAAAGCATCACGTATCTTGTGAGCAAAACAAGATTTTCTGAGAGGTGAGCGGAGTCAGGGTGAGCAGCCGTTTTCGCTGAGGATGAAGCAGCTTTAAAGCCCGGGATTATTAGGACTCCCTCACGACTCAGAGAGCTGTCGAAGATAATGCCCGCCTCTCTCGCATCAGCATTTGCTGAATTAAACATACGCTTTAAAGCTAATAGGCATAAAAGCACACGGCCACCCGTATATCTGCGTACACAGAGCCAGAGCTTAAGAAGGCAGGAGGGTAATCGGAGGACTGCGAGAGGGCGAGGAGTGCAAGCTTAAGTATGTATGAAGTTCAACGAGCTAAAACACCCCAAAGTAAACAAAGAAGGATGCAATCCGACATCCGCTCCCGCTCGCTCTCGTGGCCTCGCTGGGGTTGCACTCGCTCACGGTCCACAGCTGATGCTCCCTGTTGAAGGAGCAAGTGTTCAAACAGGAGTGAAA